TTGTATTCCCAGCACTGTTTACAGTCTCAGTTGCCATTTAAACTTTAACTTTAACTTTAACTTTCTGATCAAAAATAAAATAACAAAAACAAATCTTTTCACAATAAATAAAATATAATTTCTCAATAACTAACTCAAATTAGAGATTAAATTACAAAATCCAAAAAATCAATAGCCAAAATAAAAGACAAAATAGTAGTGATACATGCAGAACACACCACAAATTATAAATATAAAAATAAACTTCTTATGTTTTGTTACACTTAACAAACAAACAGATTCAAGCAATATAGTATAATATGAGAACCTGAAGTACCATAGACCAAAAGTTTAAACACACACTAGAGTGTTTTAATTGGTCAAACCATAACCAAAGTGCACCAAATCAAACAAACAAATAAAGGTGGTCCACCGCAACGTTCCACCAAAGCTTTTTTTTTTTTTTTAAACGTTTGGAAAGAAACAGACTCAAACAAACAAGACTACTATATATGTATATATAACAGACTCCTCAACGTTAACAGAAAATTCAACCCAGAATATATAATTTGTGCAATACTCCAGATCATACAGAAATTACAACATCAAGTTTTGTATTAAAACAAAACAGAAAAACAGTTTAAAACCACATTGTTTAGAACCAGCAGATTAAAATTCTGTATAGATAAAAAATAAATAAATACATACTGAATTATAGCAGAACACAAAACCAGAGCAGAAAATGAGACGCAATATAAGGAGTAACTGTATATATATATAACAGCAAACACAAAATGATACTTTATTTTAAACAGCATGGAAAATCATTACAATAAACAGAACAAACCCAGAATATATATATATATATATATATAAAACAGAAACAGAATTTGCTATATTAAACACTATGATCACCAAACTGTATAAAATCAGAAAATTAATTTAACCGAAACAGTAAATAGAAGTGAGATATAATTCTGTCTTAAAATTGTTGGAGAATAATTTCGGTAAATTAATTACATGCGAATGAATAAAACAAATAAAAAAAAAAACTTACAACGTTATAGCAGATTAAACAATGGTATGAAAATGTGATTAAGGCCAGTGTATGGACACTGTGTCTTTAAGACAAAATTACGCCCTCTCCACTGGGGCACGAGATCAATGGGCGTCCTGTCTCCAGGATACAACAATCACTACACACAGAATTTGCACTAACTCTATGTGTACAACGAACCAGAATTTGTGCTTTATACTCTCACAAACTTAAACTCTAAAAATGGAATATGCAAGATGAATAGAGAAGGAAAAGGAAGATCTGGAAAAAATGTTTTCTTTCTTAGAAATAAAAAGGATGGAGGACTGCCTTAATATAGGCAATGGAAACCTGTTATGGAAAGACATGTCTGTTCAATTTGAAAATGAGTCCATTGATGTCCGTTGCAATCCATTGCAATTTGAATATAAAATTCAAACTTTCCAGCAACAAACTAACATTAATTCAAACAATTTAGGCCCAAGAAAATAAGTAATGGGCTTGACCCAAACCCAACTTATCTAGGACCTTATATATATTCTCCAAATTGTTTATAATTTTCTTGTGTAGAAAATGATGCAATACCATTTTGAGAATTTTCACAAACATGTCTAATGTTCATAAATCTTACTCAGAAGTCAATTTTTCATTCACCTATAAATGGTTTTGACTCACTAATTATATAATCTTGTTCACCATATAGAACGAATACATTGCTACTCGAACCCTCAATAAATGACTTGTGGGTCTTATAAAATAGTTAGCATAAAGTTTCCGAAACATCAGAATTTAAACCATTTTTCCAACATAATTAAATAACATACATTATACAAAAAAAAATGTGATCTTTATCTGATTTTGTAGCAGTGCTGTCCTTCAAAAGAATGGCAAGACTTGGAACTTTCTTGCTGCTGCTGCTACTACTACTATTCTCTCTCCACTGCATCGTGACCATGGCAGACTCTGCTATTGCCCCAGATCCCACTTCTACAAACTTCATCAAAGCCTCATGCCGAGCCACCCGCTACCCCATCCTCTGTGTCCAGTGCCTCTCAAGCTATGCCAGTCAAATCCAACAAAGCCCGAAACAACTCGCTGATGCAGTGTTGGCGGTGAGCTTATCCAAGGCTCAATCAACAGCAGTGTTCGTGTCAAAAATGACCCAAGTCTCGGGTATTAAGCCCAGAGAGTACCAAGCTGTGAAAGACTGCATTGAAAACATGGGAGATACGGTGGACCAGCTCAAAAAATCGATTCCAGAGCTCAATCAGATTGGTCGAGCCGGGGGTCAGGACTTCATGTGGCACATGAGCAACGTTCAGACGTGGGTCAGCGCTGCGCTCACCGACGAGAACACTTGTGTCGATGGGTTTTCAGGGCCCGACATGGATGGAAATGTGAAGGCTAGTATTAAGAGAGAGATCATTGCTGTTGCACAAGTGACTAGCAATGCTCTTGCTTTGGTTAATCGGTTCGCGACTCGACACCGAGCTTCTGGAACTAAGAACATGCCTTAAGGTTTAGTTTGAGATCTCAGAATGATGGTTGTGTAATTATATATGTACTGTGAAGTTTGTAATATGTTTCCAGTTCTATCCATGGAAATGGATTAATTTTGTTGTTCTCTGGCTTTTTTCCTGTAAATGTTACTATGTTTTGTCCAACTAAGGTTTGGTATGTCTTGTATGATATCTTGTCTCAAGCTTGGTTCAATCTCTCTGTCTCTCTCTCTCCCTCTCCCCAAAATGATATGACTTGGGGTGTGTTTGGTGCTTGGATTTGGGGTGGGGGGAAGAAAAAAGAAAGAAAAAAGATAAATGAAGCTCCTTGTGATTTTGTTTTCATTTTTGGGTTTTCGGAAATAGAAGTAACGAAAAGTTTAAAAATACACATTATTTTCATATCGTTTTTGTTTTTATTTTTATTTTTATGTGAAAATCATTATTAAAGATTCAGAAAGAATTTTTTAAGTATGTTCAAAAAATGAGTTTTTAAAAAAAAATCGAAAATAATTTTCAGAAACAATTTGTAAAACACTTCGTTATGGTTTGTTTTTTAAAAAAAGAAAGAAACAAAAATACAACTAAACTGGCAATTTTTTACTTCACAAAATTTCACATATCTTAAACTGAGGGTTTTTTTTTTTTCGGGTCCAGCAATGCTAGGTATTATGAAAAATCTTTCGTGAAAATAATCATGAAAGCTTTATGACTCTTGGATTACACTTAGAATAAAACACCACACACTAATCAAGGTAATTCAAGAATCATAAATCTTTTATGATCATTTTCATAATCCCTAACTTTTTTTTTGGATCCAAAATAAGATTTGAAGATAGCACAGTGTTTCCTGTCCCTTGTGTCACTCTGGATTATGAGTTAACTGTTCATTTTCCCTTGCCATGGATTTTTTATTTTTAATTTCCCAAAAGAAAAATACCTTGAGAAATTTCGTAATGAATGGATTTGACGACTTTTGTGTACAAATTTTCCCTGACTATAAACCTTCATAAAATAAAATAAAGATTGTCAAGCTGAAAACGAAGAATTTGAGGCTATGCTCTCCGTCCAACACGGACAATTATTTATGGGAAAGTAATGTTTCCTGACAAGGAGGACATCCATAAACCGACTCAATTGATTAATTTATATGAATAAAGCTCAGTTTCTTGGGCGATATCTCTGAATTATGTGTTTTTGTATAGAGTTATGCTGTATTGACAACTGTACGATATTGTAAAAATCTCAAAACACAATAAAAACTCATTAGAGTGCACGGAATATGGAGATAAGATTTCGAAAACAATCAATTTTGTGTTTTTTTTTTTAACAAGGGATGGATGATTCTTTATTCCTTATCTCAAAATATTAACAGTTATTGAAATGTTTAAAAATATTTCAAAGTATGTTGACACAAATTTAAAGGGAATCTTTAGTCCTTACAAAGAAAGGGTTTTTTTTTTTTAATAATAATGAAAAACCTTTGTCAAGATAGAGTCACTTAAATCTATCATTTTGCAACTCAATTATTTGATCTAGTTAAGAATACATAATTCATTTTTTAAAGAGTGTAACCTATAATCTTTATAGGAAAATTTAAAATATATATAAAATTTATATAAAAAATTTGATAAGAATGATATTTTGATGTTATTATTATAAATAAATATATTTTTAATGATATTTTGTTTTAAAATGAAAAGTTTATAATGAACCACAATATTATATATACAAATTATATTTAAATTTTTAATTTATATAACATAAACCACTTACCAAACTTTTTAGAATAATATTAGAGATTTTAAAAAATTTACTAAAAATTCTATCCAACATCTTATATAAATGTAAAATTCACACAATTTGATAGAAACTTGTAATAGAATATTAGAATTTGATAAAAAAAAATGTAGGACTAGCATTGGTAAATTTTTAAAGTTGGGTAGGTAAAAAAACAATGAGGAGACAGTTGGGCGCAATCTACGCCATTTACGGCAACACTAGAGAGCAATTCTGTCACTTCCTGTTATTTATTCTGGTTTTTTTTTTTTCTTTTTTTTTACAATTATCATTATTTGGGTTTATTAAAATCAAATTGGGGTGGTTGGGAAAGGGGGAGCAATAAATCAGCTGTATTATATATATATATATATATTTTGAAAATCAACATTTATTTATTTATTAATTTGTCATCTACATATCTCTGTGATAATTTAAGAATCATCATTCTTGCGTTTTTGTTAGATAACCTGTCATCATTTTTGTTTATAATCAAAGTTAAGGACATCACTTTCTTGCCTTTATCAAAGTATCTGAGTGCATGACTGGTCAACAATTTCTAAATTAGAAATTTCAACTCATGATAAAACCTTGCAGTGTGATGAGCTTCTTCTTCTTCTTTTTTTTCTTTTTTTCTTTTTTTATTTTTTATATATGTATGTAATTTAGGTTAAATTTTTATATCGAACATTCAGCTCACTTTCTTAAACACCCAACTCAACTTTAGTCTATAACTCTTTAATCAATATATATATTTTGTGAAGTATACACATAGCATGTTTTTTAGTTTTGCTTTCTAAGCTCGTGCAAACCACATTTTTGACAAAATTATGTGATTTTACAATTCTCAACAAGTGTATCACTTAAATGTTAATATTGATCAATAGTTTTATAACTTATCTCAATTTGATTAAATGAGTTTTCTTTATTTTTTTTTTTTGTCATATTGATAAAAATAAAATGTATTTATGTAAATTTTTGTATCTACATTTTATTTTTTGAAACAATTATATAAATATGTTTGAATATTATTTTATTTTATTTATTTGTGTGTGATTTGAAAAGTAAAAAAAAAAAAATTTTGAATATCTACCCTGAAAAAAAAAATCTTATACTTGTTGTGAACACTCTAAAAAAAAATTTCTGAAGTCACCATTGGTTTAGAAGATTGGTATACTCTAATATATTAATCATGTATTATTTGCTGCTGGTTTTATTGCAAGATATAGTTAGCTACATTATTATTATTATTATTTTGCTTCTCCTTCTCATGCAATTTAATCGGTCATCTAAAACTCACTAAGAAAATTTTAATTTTTTTTTTATTGTCAGTGATTTCAATTTTTCATATGACCAATAGAATAAAACCTCATTTTTATGTTTAGTCTATGGTCTAAAAAAATATTTAGCTGCTATTGTGTTCTTTATGTATGTAGAAAAAAATAAAATGGAAAGAAGGGTGCTAAAACTCAATTTATGAAATAGGTAAAATATATAGGAACAAGAGAGAATAAGTTGCAAATTCAAGGGAGAAAAATTACAATTTCATTAACAAAAGAAATAATATGATAAGCCTAATCAAACAAACCCCAAAACTACAACAAACATACCAAACCAAATCAAACCAAGCCTTAAGTCCCATCAAATGGGGTCGGCTAGATGAATCTTTCTTCTTCACGCGGCCCTATCAAAGGCCAAAACTACAACACACATGGCTTATAAAAAACACTATAATTTATGTGCATAATGCATATAAATAATTTTTTTCATAAATATAATTTGGTTAAAATTCAACTTTTGTACAGTGAAATTTACATATTAAATTAATCTTAACCATACATCAAATATTTTAGGTATTTTGTTGTGTACAAATTCTGTGCGCGTAACATTGTTCTAATGGGGACAATGTATCGTATTTGAGCATGGTAGGGGAAGTGATCTAAAGGATATTCAACCTATATAAAGCAAATATTCAATCCATATTCAAGCATACTAATAAGGGCAGTCCATTTTTTCAATATCTTTATTTTTCTTCAATGAATAACCTTAGTTGTGAATTTCTTTTTACTTAGAAAGAAGATAAGGATATTAATTAAAAATGAGTCATTAAACCTAACCTAACATAAACCTACGTAACTTAAAAAAGTCATTAAAGAGACACAAATGATGCAGCCCCCCCTTTTATTGTGATTGGTCATCATTCACTAATTAATATCCTATTTAATTAGATTGCCTCCCAATTCTATTTTATATATTGTAACTCCCACAATCCTCCACTTATGCTCTGCACCATCTCCTCAACCAATTTGTACTCCACCCCTATCCTGTTCTCTCTCTCTCTCTCTCTCTCTCTCTCTCTCTCTCTCTCTCTCTCTCTCCCA